TCATAGTGGATAGGGTAGAGTGAGCCCCTGGAAGGTGTAAATAGTTATGCATGGCTGTTAGCTAAAAGGTTGACATTTTGAACCTGCTCAGAGGCATCCTGGAAGACAGGTTCGGTAATCTGCTTCCAAAAGTCACAGACTTGAAAATACTATAGAGCATTTCTTCTCTGTACACATGGGGCCGCCATTAGTTGAAACTGACTTGGTAGAAACCAACAGTAACAATAGAGGGAGACAGACCAGATAAATGAGCAAAAATCTCAAATAATAATAACATACAATAATGAAAACATTATGTTGATGTGATAGAATGACTTGGCTAGGGTGATGGGAGACATTAGATGGTATTTTAGATGGTGGTCAAGGAAGACCTCTTTAAGACATTGCTGTCTGACATTTGAATAGTAAGTAGGAACCAGCTGTTGAGATCTGGAGAAAGGCTGGTGGGACAAACCACTGTAGGTGCCCTATGTTTGGAACAGGTTTGGCACAGGTTGGGTGTGCTGAAGGAGTGAAGGAAAACTAGAGTGGTTGAGCATAAAACATCGAGAGTAGGAGCAATGTTAGTAGAAGTTGAGGTCTGAGGGGTGGGACCTATCTAAAGTTTTTAACCTGTTTTGTGTTGTGGATCATTTTGGCTTCTGATGAAGCCTTTGAACCTCTTCACAGAATACTGTTTTTAAATATATAAAATAAAACACATATAGAGTTATATAAGAAATCAATTATAGTGAAATATACTTATCAAATATAAAATAAGTTCTTGATATAGAATTGTGTCCTTTTTATTAATGCATTAAAGAACATTATCTGGTAGAAAGTCTGCCACCTCCTTTAAATTGAAATAATAATGAGGTTAAATAATACTTCAAGAAATCCCCCAAAGCTGTAATACGGTAGGAAAAGATATCAGGGACTTTGATTTCTGACAAAGCTTCAGGTAGTGGTAATACTACTGTGTTTTATTGCTTACATAATAATGGAAAGAAGTGCTAAATTTCAGTGAGAAGTCAGAGAAAATACAAATGTAATTTACTTCTTTTTTGTGTTCATGTCCTAGTCTGAGTTAAAGGGGTCTGTGGTCATTAAGAGCCTGGAGTGGATCAGGTTGGACTTTGTGGGCTGTGACAACTAGTGGAGAACCCAGTTGGAAATTGACAGTGGGCTTCAGTACAAGTTACAAGTTTTGTTGTTTGCCATCAAGTCAGTTGCAACTCATAGTGACCCCATATGTGTAGAGTAGAATTATTCTGTAGGGTTTTTAAGGCTCTGTTATCTTTCAGAAGCAGATCACCAGACCTGTCTTCATTGTGCTTTGGGTGAGTTCGAAGACCAACCTTTTGGCTAATAGTCACACTCTTAACCATTGGTGCCACCTAGGGGGAATACAAGTTGTAAGTAGGGAAAGGAATTCAGGATGCTAGCAAGAGCATACAGAATTGAGCAGGGTGAGTTCAGAAGGGGGCTTACAGATTGAGAAGAGCTATAGCAAGTTGGGCCTATGTGTTCAAAACTAGAGGACATGTTAAGACTGGCACACAGGTTCTAAAATTTTTACAGGTATTTCTTTAATACTACCACTTGTGCATTCTTGAAAAACCTTACCTTCAAGGTCAGCTAGAAAACTAGAGCTTATGGAAAATACAGAGTTGGGGAATACCTCAAATCTATGGAAAGTTTTAAACAAAAACATTAATAAACTTTAATAAAAAGAGTTACTGTTGTTATTAGTTGCTGTCCAGTCAATTCCAACTCATTAACATAGTGACTCTGTGTACAACAGAACAAAACACTGCCTGGTCCTGCAGTGTCTTCACAGTCATTGGTATATTTGAACCCATTTTTGCAGTCACGGTATCCGTCCATCTTGTTGAAGGTTTTCCTCTTTTTCACTGACCCTCTGCTTTACCAAGCATGATGTCATTCTCCAGGGACTGCTCCCTCTTGATAGCATGACCAAAGTACATGAGACACAGTTTCTCCATCTTTACTTCTAAGGTGCATTCTGGCTGTACTTTTCCAAGACAGATTTGTTCATTTTTCTGGCAGTCCACGGTATATTTAATATTCTTCAACAATGAGATAATTCACAGACATCTTCTTCACTCTTCCTTATTCATTGTCCAGCTTTTGCATGTATATGAAACTAAAAAAACCAAACTCACTGCCATCGACATGCATATGAGGCAATTGAAAAAGACTGTAGCTTGGGTCAGATGTACCTTAGTCCACATCGTTGATTTGATTCCTTCATATTCCATCCAGAGAGGTCCATGTGTATAGTGGAGGTTTATTTTGTTGAAAAAGAGGTATTTCCAGTGAATAAGTCATTGATCTTGCCAAATTCTATACAGTATTGTTTCTGTCACCAAGGTTGTATTTTCCAGCTGTTGATGCTGCTCCCATATTTCCAACTTTCACATTCCAGTCATCAGTAATTATCAGTACATCTTGATCACATATTTGATCAATTTCAGACTGCAGAATTTGGTGAAAATCTTTTATTTCTTCATCTTTGAAATTAATGTTTGATGTATAAATTTGAATAATAGTGATACTAGCTTGTCTTCATTATAGACGTATGGTTATTATCCTATCACTGACAGAGTTGTACTGCAGGATAGATCTTGAAATGTTCTTTTCTATGATGAATGCAACACCATTCCTTTTCAATATATGATTGATTCACAGTGGCCAATACCAGTCCATTTCTGCTCACTAATGCCTAGAATCAATCTCTGCATTCCAATTCATTTTTGACAACTTCTCATTTTCCTAGATTTCATAAATTGTATATGCCAATTTCCAATTATTAATGGATGTTTGCAGCTGTTTCTTCTCACTTTGACTTTTGCCACATCAGTAAATGAAAGTCCCTAACACTGCACTCCATCCACATTGTTAAGGTCAACTCTACTCTGAGGAGGCAGCTCTTCCCTGGTTTTATTTTGAGTGTTTTATAATCTGAGGGTTAATCTTCCAGCACTGTATTAGACACTGTTCTGCTGCTATTCATAAGGTTTTCACTGGCCAGATCATGGTTTAGAAGTAGATCCCCATGTCCTCCTTCCAAGTCTTAGTCTAGAAGCCCCACTGAAACCTGTCCACCGTGGGGGACCTGCTGGTGTTTGAAATACCAGTGGCATAGCCTCCAGCATCACAGCAACATACAAGCCACCACAGTCTGACGAACTGATAGACCAGTGGTAGAGTAAAACGAGTAGCCTCTATAAATCTTCATGGCATTTGCACCCAGCATCACAAGTGACTCTTTGTAGCCTTAATCTCTGGGCTTCTTTTTCTTCTCCTTTTATATGTAGGTCTTAGAGGGCATTTGCTTTTAATAGAGGTCACTCATCAAAATTAAAAATCTGAACTAGGTATAGAATTCAGTCTTTTTTTTTTTTAAATACTAGCAAATGTTTTTGTGCTGCACGTATGTACTATGTTTGCCAGCTTGTCTTAGGTTTTCATACATTGCTAAAAGTTACTGTTTGCGTAAACTTGCCCTTGATCACTTCGAAATACTAATGAGCTAGGAAAAAAATCATGCATAAACTGATGACGTCTCTGTGTTTTGTTGACATCGTTTCCCTCTTCACCAGTAGTGTATGAGCTAATTTGGAACAAAGAACCAGGCATTGTAGCACAATAGACATTATGTGAACAAAGTGTTGTTTATAGGCTGTTTAAATAGTGTTTCATACATATGTACTATTTTCTAAATGTGTGTCAATGCTCTTGTGATTAATAATAAACATGACTTCTTAAAATAATTTTGCTGACTTCATGGTAGCTTTTCATCATTATTTTCCTAAATCAAAACCTACTAAAATTTCTGGAAAAGATGAGGAACTATTGGTTTGGAGCAAATGCAGTGTGCTAGGGATCACTCATAAAATTCTAAAGCCATTTATTAGAGATCAGAAAGGAAATCTTTGTGTTATTACAGATAATAATACTGTTGTTTATAACTGCTGTTGAGCTGCTGTGTATGTGTTAAGCACTATACTAAGTATTTTATGTAGTTAATTATTCCTTTTCTGAGTAGGTATTGTTGTTTCCTTTATACAGATAAGAAATGGGGGCTCAGACTAACTCTCTCAAGATCACAGAAGCCAGTAAGGAGTACCCAGATTTCTGGCTGTTAATTTTAAACTTAGGTCCTTTACACTGTAGACTTTGTTGCTTCGTGTACTCCTCACATGATTTTCCAGCATATATTCTTAGACTGTTGCCAGTGAAGTCATCTTCAACTCATGGTGACCTGTGGGTAACAAAACAAAACGTTGCCTGGTCCTGAGCCATCTTTATGATTATTGGTATGTTTGAGTCCATTGTTTAAGTACTGCTAAATGGCAGTAAGCAAAGTTCCATTGTGTAAATATTTGACTTGATTTAGCCTCTGTTAATTGGAACACTATATTATTAATGGGAATCAGGAATATAAGGTAAATTTCTTTAATGGCTTTGACTTGAGTTATTAAATCTGCAAAGAAATGAAATTCATTTAGTTGTAATTAATGTTGCCGTTTCTGCATTCCTGGCACTCTGTGTGAAGGAGATTACAGACTGGCAGGGGAAGCAGTGTTTTATCAGTAGAAACTTCGAGTGCAAGATCATCTCCCTTCCTATAAAATAGAGAACTAAACACATTCGAGGGAGCTCTGGTAGCGTAGTGGCTAAGACACTTGCCTGCTAACCAGACGGCTGGCGGTTCAAACCCACCAGCCACTCCTCGGAAGGAAGGTTGGGCAATCCTACTTCCGTAGTGATACTGCCTCGGAAACCCAAGGAGGGGTCGCTATGAGTTGGGGCCGACTTGACGGCACATAACAACAACAACAACAAACACATTCGAATTAAAATTCCTGAGTGAATAATAACCTAAATAATGCTTTTTGGATCAAATGATGCTCCTTATCTCAGTTGAATTTCTGTGATCTGTAGTCTTCTATTTTAAATCATTGAACTTTATTTTTCATTTTGCTTTCTTTTAGGAAAACACCAGTCATTGTTATTGGCCATTTTTGTGACTCCTCTTATTGATCTTCGTTCTGATTTCTCCAAGTTTCAGGAAATGATAGAAACAACTTTAGATATGGATCAGGTATACAATATGCTTCTTAATTCAAACAACAAAATATTTTTGAAAGGCACATTAGGAAACTAACCTTTTAGATTTCCTTTTTCAGTCTTTTTGGCACTGCTGTGTGGTACCTTTTGGAAATAAGTTGGTGGATGTAAGATTAAGTAATAGGAAAATGTTTTATTTTTAATGGAAGTTGTTTTGGTGGATGAAAGTTAAAAAAGATCAACAGAGGAAAGGAGTATTGGGCATAACTGACCTGATAAAAGAAAATTTCATAAATAGAAGATTTCACCTGTGTGAGGAAAATGTGACTAAATTTAGAGCATGAGAGAAGCTGTCTTCTCTTTTGTTTATTTTCCCTGTGGGAAATTCTTTGGGGGAGAAGATTGAGGTATGTGTGTAGCTCCTAAATGGTTGGTAAATGTAACTAAAAAACTAACCATCATTTTAAGTCCTGTTTAGTTTCAAATTTCTTGTTAGTGGAAAAGAACTTCTAGGTTTTCCATGATCTATATCTTCAAGTCTCTAACAATTTTGAGCAGCAATTTATATGTAAAATGGAACTAACTACAGAGTTAAAAATATCTTTATTAAACAGATTTTGAAAGCAAAATTTATAGAATGGTACATTTTCTTTTTTTGTATCTGTTAAAAATTTATTTATATTAAATATTTTGGGGCTTGTCAAAAGGCCAGTGAATGTAGTGTTGTAAAATTATGTGATAATTTAAAAAGCAGTATTTACAGCTTTTCTAAATTCAATTTCCTGTTAAAAGTGATCTTACAGGGGATAGGTACTTACATTATTCATGTTGAAGTAATAGGCTGCTAATTGGTGGTGTCTTTGCCCTGCGTAGTGTGGATTTATTTTATTTTAACTACGTTATTAACTAAATCTAGTTAATTTGCTCTGTGTTCCCTGGGTTTTAAAAATGTGTGTGTGTGTGTGTGTGTGTGTGCACTTGTGCATGCATGTGCACACGTGTGTGTATCTAAACACTTCACTTTTCTGGTAATATTTTATGTTAGTGACTTGGTGATAGGGCAGTCTCTTCCATTTACTTATAGGTTAAACAACCAAAAAACTTACATTGTTAACTTCTTGTTTAGGAAAACTTTCATTTTTCTTGAGAAATATTGTTATTAGTGGAATGGCTTTAGGTGCTCAACTTTTAGGCGAGTTGGGGTGGGGGGAGGCAGAAATACTGTTCAGAGACATCTGGTGGCTGACCCTCCCTCCACCCCTCTGGCCGAGGATGTGACTGTCCCTGAGATTGGCCAGAGTTGGATATTTGTAAACATTGTTTTAAATGGAAGCATGTAGATAGTGCAGACTGAATGGTAAAAACAAAAACACACTCACAAACACACAAAGAAACCAATTCTAATAGGGAGTTAAGGGGCCCTGGTGACACAGTGGTTAAGTGCCTGGCTGCCAACAAAAAGGTGAGCAATTTGAACCCACCCATTAGCTCTATGAGAGAAGACCTGATAAGCTGGTTCCATAAAAATTATAGCCAGGAAAACCCTATTGGACAATTCTACTCTGTCACATGGGGTCTTTGTGAGTTGAAATCCACTCTGTAGCAACCCACAACAATAGAGAGATGGGATAGCAAGAATTGAGCTTTTCTGTCACTGCAACTGCACCCTTGAAGGACCCAGAGACTAGGCAAGGCTCTGCTGAAATGGTGAAAATGCTTTTGTTCTTTTTGTGACCACCTTTATTCTTCTAAGGAGTTCTGGTGGTGTAGTGGTTAAGGTGTTTGGCTGCTAAACAAAAGGTCAGTGGTTCAAACCCGCCAGCCTCATTGTGGAAGAAAGATGAGGCAGTCTGCTTCCTAAAGATTTCTAGCCTTGGAAACCCAGTGGGGGTTGCTATAGGTCGGAAACAACTTGATGGCAGTATATTTGGTTTTTGGTTTGGTTTATTCTTCTAGGTGGCCATGTTATTGTTACTGTTAGGTACCATCAACTCGGCTCTGACTCATAGCAACCCTATGTACAACAGAATGTGGCTATATCCTTGTCTTTATATGGTGAGTGTCTCAAACTTAAGCATGTATCAGAATCACCTTCAGGGCTTGTTAAAATGCAAATTGCCAGGCACAACTTCCAGAATCAGATTCTTTAGTCTAGGGCAGGGGGGGTCACTGGAGAATTTTCATTTCTAGCATGTTCCCAAGTGATGTCTATGCCGCTCATTTGAAGAACACACTTTGAGAACCACTTGCTTAGTAAATTAGGGACATAATCAAATCTTAAAGTGAAAATGTGTATAATTTCTTCCCACCATTTTGTAGCCTGCCAGGAATGTAGTACTCTTGGGTAATAACTGGCTAGAGTTTGGTTTATGTAAGTGAGAATGTTTAAGAGCTTCTTAAGATTGGTACCCCCTCTGTCAGTGTATAGATTCTCTGTTAAACATTCCGCTGTGGCTGTCTTCTTCTCTGAGCCATCACTTAACAGTCACAACCTGCCTAGCCAGATGCACCCAAATCAATGTTGTCAAGTCATTCCCGACTCAAAGTGTCCCTATAGGACAGAGTAGAACAGGATTTCCAAGGCTATAATCTTTCACCAAGGCATTTGCCAACATAACAACTTCCACATTTACAGCTCAGGAACATCAAGGACATTTTTCATGTTGTGCTGCCAGTTTTGCTATCCTTTTCCAAAATATTCTGCCATCATTAGCATTAACACAATGCCTCATAAACATTCCCCTTTCACCTCCCTCGTACCTCTGGTAACCACCAATAATCTTTGGTGTATATGTGTGTGTGTGTGTGTGTGTGTATGTATCAATTAAAAAAATTTTTTTTTACCTATCTGGCAATTTTTACTCCCCTCCCTTCCCATCCCTGGTAACCAACAAAGAAAATTTCCTTCCATATATAAACCTTTTCCAAGGCCATAATCTTTACAGAAGCAGATTGCTACATCTTTTTCCCATGATAGGTTCGAACCACTGACCTTTTAGTTGGCAGCCAAGCACTTTAATTATTGTACCACCAGACAGGTGCATGGGCCCTCCCTTTTTAGGACCACTCCCTTCCCCCACTTTTGGATGGTAAAAACTGTTTTCCTACAGTAAACAGTGTGTTTAATTATGTGCATGATCTACTTTTGGTGGTATTATCTGCCACTGTGATGATTACAAGGACCTCTGTGGCATGATGGGTAAGGCATTTGGAGCTAACCAGAAGGTCAGTGGTTTAAACCCATCAGCTACTCAGTGAGAGGGAAAGAAGGCAATCTACTTCTGTAAAGATTTACAGCCTCGGAAACGCAGTGGGAGTTGCTGTGAATTGGAATTGACTCGATGGCAGTGGACTTGGTTTGGTTTGGTGATGATTATGTAAGGCAGCAAGATGATAAAATCTTGGGCACTCTCAATGTTATACTTTTTGATTTTCTCTTTTTAATTCATGCAGTATTTTGACTGTTGACCTTTTAGATATATATATTTGACGGCAAACAAGCCAAAACATTCCTTCACAGATGATGTACCATTAGTAATTTAATGACCTCTTATTTGCAGTTCTTATTTAGTGTGCTTGTGGGTAGTCTTTCAAAATGATTCTAAAAAATTATCAGGATATAAATAATTTTAAAAATGTTTTTCTTTCATGCTTTCTTCTTATAAATGCATTACATGTTATTAGAACATTACGTATCATTAGAAACAAAACAACACAGATGTATAGAAGCAAAGCTAATAATCTTTGATATTTCTCCTTCTGGGGAGTTCTGGTGGCATAGTGCCTAAGGCATCTGACTGCTAACCAGAAGGCTGGTGGTTCAAACCCACCAGCCACTCCCCAGAAGGAAGGTTGGGCAATCTACTTCTATAGTGATATCCCCTCAGAAACCTAAGGGGAGGGGTCGCTATGAGTCAGACCGCTTTCCAGATAAATGGTGTGCTTCCTCCATTTTCATTATACTACTTTTCCCTGTTGTGGGTTAAGGATTTTTTATTTTGATCTGAAATACTTGAAACATACCTTTAAGTTAGAATTTACCCTGACTGTGACATAGTGTTTAGTGTTAATTTTTGAGTGATCCTATGGGATTACTTAGAGTGCTATTGTATGTTTCTTTTAAGAGTATCAGGTAAGAGTGTAGATTTTGGGAAGGTAAGCAGTGTAGTTAGATGGATGTAAACTGGAAAAGGAGAGGTCATTTTTCCTAATTTCATTGCTATTGTACTTTGAATGTGTGAAGCCACAATTTCTTAGTCCAAAAGTAGAGCATTAAGTCGTTAGTTTAAATATTATGCCAATAAAATATAAATTGTAGATTTCTTTTTTTCCCCCCTCTGACTAGACTATTTGTGGTTATATTTACAACAAGAGATTTATAAAGATACTTAGAAAGATATTTTGCAGGCAACTGAAAACTCAATACACTTTGACTCATATTGTTAAAAGTCTAGAGATAGGGACCCAAACGGATTGCCATCAAGTCGATTCTGACTCATAGCAATCCTATAGAACAGAGTAGAACTGCCCTATAGAGTTTCCAAGGCATTAAATATTTATGGAAGCAGACTGCCTCACCTTTCTCCCTTGAAGTGACTAGTGGATTCACCACCCTTTTGCTTAGCAGCCAAATGCCTTAACCACTGTACCACTAGAGCTCCCTAGAGATAGGGAAGAGGTTCTAATTTATTATCTCTCCTGCCTTTTGTTATTTTAATTTTGGTTGCTTCCTCTTTTTGTCCTAGGATTACTGCTTGTAGAAATTGGGGCAGTATTAATGAGACTGTTTAAGCAGTGTTTACCAGGAAAATGTAATGTTATAAGTGGTCTGAGAAAACTAGAACTTACTCCTGGAGCTGGGTATGGAGTCAGCTTTTCTCAAGGAGGAGATACTCAGGAAAAATATTAACATTACTAGGAAGCATGAAGGGTTCAGGGGAATAAATGTGCCACTGGGATACTGTGCAGTAACTATGGGCTTTTGTTTCTTATAGTATGATAAACCAAAAATCAAACAAGCTGCTTGTTGAGTCA